CTAAGCTTTCTTTGATTGTCATTTTTGGTAAAAAGTGATATTTTCAACTTCAATGTGGACCTCTCTCAGATTTGTTCATTTTGTAATGATATCTTCAATTCTCTAATTTGGGTGAATATTTTTGTAATTTTTGGTAAAAAGTGATATTTACGACTTCTTGTTGAAAACCGCAAGTCTAATTGCTTTGATATTACATATATAGGTACTACACGTGGACCTCTCTCAGATTTGTTCATTTTGTAATGATATCTTTAATTCTCTAGTTTTGGTGAATATTTTTGTAATTCTTGGTAAAAAGTGATATTTTCAACTTCTTGTTGAAAACCGCAAGTCCAATTGCTTTGATATTACATATATAGGTACTACGTGTGATTGTAACTCGGATTTGTTCATTTCATGATGATATCTTCAATTCTCTAATTTTGATGAATATTTTTGGAATTTTTGGTAAAAAGTGATATTTTCCACTTCTTGTTGAAAACTGCAAGTCTGATTGTTTTGATACTATACATATTGTTCATTTTCTAATGATATCTTCTGTTCTTTAATTGAAATGTGCATTGCTAACAGCGGAGCTATCTCAGCCGAGAGGCTGCTTGTTTAATAAATGTCGTCAATGCCCGGTAAAAACACCTTGGGCCTATACTCGGAGAGGGGCTTATACTCGGGGAAGTACGGTATTAGACTATAAATATTTTGTGAAATCTTACAGAGGTCTTGATCATTTAGTGCCTAATTAAGACCACCACACCTCATAGCTGTTTTCAAAAATGGAAATTTTATTAAATTTTAAGTGACATTTACTCGTACATGACCTATTTTTTTGTTTTTTTGACAGAGGGAATTATTTATCTATGGCAGTTAAATGAATCACAACAAGCTAATAACATCAATATAGCATTCCGAGAAGGTGAAGAAGAAAACAAAGAATCATGGACTGTCATCAAAACATTGCGGTAAGGTCAAAGGTCAACTTGGTATATATTCATCTGTTTAATTTTTAAAAGAAATTCCATTAAAAGTGCTGTGTATATATATGAATAAATAAATAGAAAAAATTTTATTTCTAGCAAAAGTAAAAATGCAAGGCGCAATATTCATTATATACAGTGTATTTTCTTAAAGAAAAAAACCTGAAATATCACCTGAAACTACGCAAACTTTATAAATACATTGGACTGTATGATTTATTGATTTATGTGATTTTGTTTGGCAGATCAGATTCAAAATCACCAAGGTGGCAATTTTGTTTTAACAAATGTTGTTACAGTAATAAATTCCTGACATTCCTTGACCAATCATGTTTAAACTTCAAAACTACCTCATATAGCATGCCACACATATGTGCATATGTATTAATTTCTTGACTCTAGTAAATATGGCCGAATGGCGCCCATTTTAAAACTAAAAATGCATAAAAATCTATCTTTCCTGCCGTTTCAAACCAGATAAATCAAACTTTACATGTACCTTTTCAAGAATTTGTAAAAATAGAATTTATTCAAAAGTATATGCAATGAAAATCTCATGCAAATATTGCAAAATAAAAATAAAAATCATAGTCAAATGTACATTTATAAAACTTGTTAGTTTTCAGAAAGGCTGTATCTACTATAGTGTCCTTATATACATAGCATGTGTACATGCATTTTTTTCGTTTTTGAATACAGCCATATTGTTTATTTATGTTTAGGCGATTAAACATTTCTAGATGGACACTGTCTTCTATAATGCTATTGCTTGATACATGTTTCATTAACACTTGCATAGAAATCATAGAAAGTTTCACATTCATAACTTCACATATTTTTATTCACCAGAGTTTTTAAGGTTTGGGATTTCTATACCCTCTCTTTATATAAAATGAAGGTAAAAAGAATAAAACGAGGCTAAATTATGTACTGCATTATTTCATTTATAATTTGAGGGTGCAAAATAAAATTGAGGGTAGAATACCTTCCACAGAAAATAAATAAAATACTAATACCGGGGACACGTGAATGAAAAGATCACCTAATTACCAACATCGTCAGCAGCAAATTGCCTGTGATGTCTGGAGATCGTTATCATTTTGAAACACTTTGGGCCACCTCAAAAGAAGGCTATGGTATTTACTGAGAGGGGCGCACTCTCAAGTCGTTACTTTACGCTAAATTTTTGTATTTTTTCTTGTTTTGCGCTATTTTAAATGTAATAAATTATAAAATACAATTACAACAACTCTAAGAGTACATTGGCCTCCTATTGAAAATGAGATAGCCAAATCTGATAACGATCTTCGGACGCCAGTTTGAATTAGCATAGGCTATTCATTAGCAAGTTTTCTGACGATTTGGTAATTAGGTGTTCCTTTCATTCATGCGTCCACAGTAAATCCTGAACAACTCTGATTTAAAATGGCTATTGTTTACCATTGCGTGACTGGGAAATGTACACACATGAGTGCTTGTTATTGATTATATTGTACGGTATATCTTATTGTCATTTCATTATTCTAGGGGTCACTTAGAAGATGTTTATGATATTTCCTGGTCAGCAGATAGTAAATATTTATTATCGGGGTCAGTAGATAACTCTGCTATGGTGTGGGACGTCAGTAAAGGTAGGTAATAGAAAGAACTACTGTACCAATCACGATTTTTGCCGGTCACTGGTGGCATAGTGGTTGTCGCATAAGACTCGTGATCGGTAGACCCAAGTTCAAATCCTAACTTAGGCTGTACATCTTAGGGTCGACCTCTACCCTGGGTGAGTGTGCCACAGACTCAATGGGAAGGCCAATTCCACTGGCCGAGATTCATTCACTAACGAATGCGACTTTGGGGGAACCTTGGTTAAGATCCACAGGTGCTTTTGTTCGACCGAGCCTGGTTGACGCCAGGATAGCCAATTAAAAATAGCCATTTGACAGAGAGATGGCCACACAGCCCTGTCATGTAGTCCCAAACATGAATATGACTTCTGTGGCAGAAATGCACTATGTATCAGCACTAGCACTTGCAATTTGTGCATGAAAAAACAACAGTGACACTCAATGTCCACCCTGTCGCCTGTCAAACTGTTTTTTAAAAAAAAATTTAAGATTCTCATGCAATGAAACGCACTTTTTATACGCATATTTTTAGAAACAACATCCTTATTATTATTGAGTTTAAAGCAGGGGAGTCGTCACCTGCGCATGCGTCAAATGGCCATAGCATGTCATTGTTTACAAACAAGTGTCTACCCATGAGCCTTTGCGTTTTTAGTGTGTGTTGTTATCGTCGCTAGGGACTCGATTCCTGCGCGTGCACAGGTGACGACCCTCTCGCTTTAAACCCATTGTCAAAGCCAAGTAATAAACACCCTGGGCGTATAACCCAGGATGTCCTCAACTCGTTAAAAGTAAGTGGTAGCCTTATACTCAGGGAGGGGCTTATGACAGGAGAAGTACGATACATGAACAAGATATGATGTGGCTAACAATAGATTTCTTTGTAAAGGTCAACATACTGGTATTTGGAAAGAACATAAAAGTTTCATCCAGGGTGTCGCATGGGATCCGCTAGGACAATATTTTGCAACATTGAGTTGTGATCGGTGCGTAACATTTATTATCATATCGTATAAGTGTTTCATACTTCTCAGTTACAGTATCATTCACACCAATGTCTTATCAAATCTTTCATGAGTTAAGTGACCATTTTGGACCAAGTAACTTCATATTTAGTGCAAATTTGGGAACTATTACCATGGATATGTGTATTGATATTCGTATCAATGTTTTGTTTTGGTTGTTTCAATATTTTGTATAGACTCACTCATTTAATAGTTCCGGTTCAAAACAAAGTTAAAAAAGTGGACTGATAATTTGGTCATTTAGTATAAGATGAGTGAGTCTGGTTGCAAATGAATTCATGAATGGCAAGATTTACTTTTGAGATGTATATTAGTTCGTACAACAGATTACGACTATGGGTGTGAGTAAACTGACATACATTGTGTGTTAGTTACTTGGTTCATGTTCATGTCCTCATTAAATTGCCTTAATATTTCACCATGAAAACATTGTTAGAGTGCAATGGGTAACGTCATAACAAATAAGCTGGCACATACTAGTGATATGAGTTAGGGTACAAAAATTGCATAAATATGAGAAATAAAAATATACATTGTATGATCATATATTAGATTGAAAAAGTTAGATTTTTTTGATACTGGATTATTCTCTCTCAATTACTTCCCATACATTAAAAGTTCATTAAGAAACAATTTATCCAATTTAATTGTTTACGTCATACATGTCCAATTCAATTTGTGATCAGATAAAAGACAGACTTGCTCTTTGACTATATTGCTTTATTTTAGTCATGAATAACATTTCTCCTAATTGCAACAGGGACTATGTCATTAACATTGTTGTGTTCTGTGATACCATTAATTACAACTAATTTTGATTGTTGATGCATGGAGCTTGCATGAAATCTGTATATTTGTGCATCTAAATTGCATATCCTTATTTTATGAATGCTTGGTGAAATAATAAAAATTATTATACATCTGTCACCGTAACGCCATAAGTTACAGCGTGCCGTAATTTTGCGGTATTTTACGGGGTATTTTCATACTACCATACAGGTTTTTTGTATTAGGAAATGCGAATTCCAAATATGGAATAATTACGCACGTAAGCGTCCTATAATAATAAAAACAAACATGGCTGCCACCAGGATTTGACCGGACTCAATACAAAGAAGTTCGCTGATTCTGTTCTAAACTTTTTGGATTTCGGCATTCCCATGATGTATCCTTGGTAGGAAAAGATGTATAATAATAAGGTCATTACGAAGATACCTCAAAGTATGCACTCAGACAGGACGATGTCGCATCGACCTCCGCTGCGCGTCGGTCGGTACTGCCGCTGTACTGTCTTCGTGCATACTTTGAGGTATCTTCGTAATAACCTTATATTCACATAACATGTTTTTTAACCTGCCTTGAAAACACTCCCACATTCACAAACTCTGATTCTTGTTTTGTCTTTCTTGTATTAACTGTACTCCCTGATTTTGATAATTTCTATTTGTTACAGAACCTGTCGTGTTTACAGTATTCAGAGTAAACGTGTTTTACATAATATCAGTAAATTATCAATATCCTCCACAAACAATAATGGAGAGGTAAGTGTGAGTGCGCTCTTCATACCAACCACATAAGTAGAAAATTATACATTACGTTTTGTAAACGGCTATACTTTTTGCACTCATTCTAACATTTAAAAATATTGAGGTGGGGGGGGGGGGTAAATTGTATCAGCAACTTTGAATGCGTTCCAGATTATTGACATTATATTAAAACATTTTCATATGTTCGCATCTGATGCAATTCAGAACGTAATTAAGATAGAATCCTATAGCTGAACACTTGCTGAACACAAATCACATAAAACTCGCTTTGCCTGTGTTTGCCAGTTTGGGCCATTATCTCTTGTTAAACTATCACTTACAAGCATTAAAAAAAAAAAAAACATTTAAGAAAGAAGTAATAATGAGAATATTGTAAATTATGCACTCAGTCAGTGCCTGACATCCACTATGCATCTGTTGATATGCTGCTGCCTTTGTGCATATTTTCTGGTATTCATGTGATAACCTCATACCACTACAAGACTAAATTGTTAATTTTTTTCATTATTTGAGGGGTTTCCAGTGACTAAATTTCCCAAAACTTATTGTTAAATGTGAGGGCTTTACACGGTCTGAGGCATCTACAATACATGTACATTGTATCAAACATTATTTCCCTAGGAACATATGTTACTACATTAACCTTTTCACCACCAGACCAAATTATTCTGCACTTTCTTCTTGTATTCAATATTTCTGGAAATGAATCCTATTTTTGGAGCCAACAGACACAATTTGAGTCAATTTTTAGTTTTTACTCAAAAATGTTGGATATTTTTGTCCCAATCTCCTGAAGGAATGTGCAGACTATAAACAAGACTATTTTGTGAATTTGTGATGAAAAGTGGGAACTGGAGGTGAAAAGGTTAAATTGTGTAAAGGTCAATCACGGTCAGCAATAGACCATAAATTCTATTGTTAGAAAAGTTCGTCAATTTTAGCATTGCCAGTTATCTGAATATCTTGTGGTTTGAAAAAATTCAAATTTAAAATGGCTAATCTATCCCTCCCATGGGTTCACTTTTGACGGTTGTCACAAAGTGCACAATGATATAGCATACATGTGCATAAACACTTAGCATTTTTTTGAAGCTCTCAGTTCTCAAAACACTTAATGAATGACCCAAATTCTACCCCACTTTATTGGAAAAATTTACTTATTATAAAACTGTTTACGGTTCTTAGTCACCAAGTTCATTGGCAGCATAAATGAAAACAAAAACAAAAATGTTATTACCATCCTTAACATGACCCATGTTTCTCCATGTTTCAGAATTACATGAAGCAGTGTCGTATGTTTCATGATGATTCTATGAGGTCATTTTTTCGTCGTCTTACATTTACCCCGGATGGTGAATTGTTAATAGTTCCATCTGGATGCGTAGAAGTCTCAGATCAGACGTTGAATACAACATATGTGTTTAGCAGATCTAACCTGGCCAAGTAAGTATGCAAAGACTGTATTCAAATTTTGCATCTTCTAAGCATGGCACTGAACATAATATTGCATTGTGGGAGAACAATTCATGTTTTGCCTCTACTGAGAAAGGTACTGAACATTTAGCAATGTAGGACCAAAAAAATCATATCAATTAAATTCACTTATCACTAAAAACGTTATGACTTTTTCAGCACATGTCCAGGAACATAGTTTCTAGATACCAAATTTATTATGAAAAATTTCATGAAAATGTGTATGTTTATATATATAGTATTAAAAGTGTTATAAATTTCTAATGACGAATGAAAATAACTTGGAGGAGCAAATCTATCAATGATTGAAAGAAGCCTGCAAAGAATTGTGGGTAATGAGCACTACTAAATGGCTTCTATTGCCATATCAGTCGTACACATTTGTGTAATTATCACATTCGTATCGCACATTTGCCACATTTTTGTAGCAAATTTTACTACAACACACCGGTGTTCAAATAAACTGATCATGGTAATTGTTTTTTTAGTGAATCATTTCTTTAAATAAATGATCTCCCTGATTTTTTTGTTTTTTTCATCACTGCAATGGTTAAAATATTCAATGATAGCTAGTGGAGTGACTATAAATGCACAACTCGCATGTGATTGATACGTAGTGAGAAAGCGATAAATATACAACACCAGAGCAATGAATGCATGACATTCACGCGATGATTGTGCAGTGTGGTTCGATAAAAATGTTTTGGTATGAAACATCGCAGTATTGTTTGATTCGTTTCGAATTTGCATATATGTGCAGCTAATTAATAGCTTGTATTTTCAAAATTTCATTATTTTTATTTCATGATGAATCAATGTTGTCACAACATTCAAAAGTTGACAAAATTTTGGCATTTAAAAGGTTAACTAACCACTCAGATTGTCTTTTATTAATGCTCGCATAACAGACCAGTGGTTCATCTGTCAGGACCACAAAAAGCTACTATTGCTGTCAGATGTTGTCCGATATTATTTGAATTGAGACGGTCACCCAAAACTGAGCAGGAGACTGAAATGGAAATAGGTGAGTTGGCATATTGTCAAGTTCAACAGCATCAAGATTGTGTATCGCAAACGGGGGTTAAAATTAAAAATTAATGTTGCCTCTCCATCGAATGAGTTAGTGAATAAGAGTGCCTGTCCTAATTGATGATGTACATGTCCCTAGCCCTAGCAAAATAAATTTTCAAAATAAAAATTTAATTCTTGGCACATCATCACTACATAAGTCTTGGAAACTCTGAAATCAATCTTCTGAACATTAGCAACGACTTCATTGTTTAGATAGTAAAAATTTGATACTTTTATTCACCTCTCCGCAGGAAAACGTAATGTGTTTATTTACCTGTCCCAGCTAAAACTTGCCTGTCTGAGACAGGTGGTCAGGTCTCATTTTCAAATCATGGCAAATGAACAGTCAACAACAAATAGAGGATTGCCAGGATAGATGCAAGATGAATTAGATTATGTAGATATAAAACCACTCCAAAACACAGTGATGAATACTTTCCCACACAAAACCTATAATTACATTAAATTGTATGGAGTAGACAAACCTACCCATCGTTCTGGTAACATTTTGGATTTAATTATTACCCGTGAGAATATTGTGTTATCATTGGAAGTGAACCAGG